TATGTACTGTATTAAAAAAAAAAACCCATACAGATGGACAAAGGAAAGCATACCTGTTGATCCTGCTAACAAAGTTGCCTAGATGTCACTTTTTTTGCATGGTAATAAAAAAAAAAAAAAAAAAACAGAGGGCGCACCAGCCTTGTGCAATACCTCTGAGGAAGAGGCTATTTCTCGAAACGCGTCAGTTTTTGGATGTCCATCATTCTCATCACCATTCAGAAACGCAGTGCGGATTGGACAGAGCGGTCTCATATGATGTGCTTATATTCATGTACTTTTGTGAGTAGAATACCTTATTTTAAAATTAATAAACATACTTTTAAAGGTAATGCACAAGGCTGGTGCGCCCTCTGTTTTGTTTTTCTCTATTAGTGCTTTTGGACTCCCCGGTTCTTTGAGGGCAGCAAGGCTTGCATATTCCAAGACATTCGTTGTGTGATCCCTATGACATAGAGTCCATCCCTAAGCACAGGAGAATTTGAGTTTTCCACTTTCACATCACTTTTTTTGCAGGGTGGCTGTGCTATCACAGTGCCATTGCAATGGAAACCAGCTGTATGGATTTTAGTTTAAAATTCTAAAAGGTTTATTGAATTTCAGAATCTCTGTGTCTTTGCAATGGAAATAAGCATTATGAACCTAGCGTTTGGTATTGTCAACTTCACAGTGGAGTGATGTACAGCTGATGCAACTAAGCACACACTTCAAAACTTCAAAACAGCGCTTCTGGCCAACTGAAGTTTTGGAAGCTACTTTTGGCTTGAGAAAGCACCTCCAGTGGGAAAATCCTAAAGTATGGACTTTAGTCTAAGTTACTAACATGTTTTGGAATTTCGGAATCACAGTGCCATTGCAATGTTAATTTCGACAGATACTGAAAAAATCCCAACGATGTACACCTGCCCTAAGGACACACCACCACCAGAAGTGCCAGGGAAGCTTAGTGCCTCGCTCTTGGCCAACTGAAGTTTTGGAGGCTACATTTGACCTTGAGAAAGCACTTCCAGTGTGGCAAACCTGTTGTATATATTTTAGTTTAAAGTACTAACAATAAATCAATCTTTCAGCAAACTTGATTACCATATACTAAATGTTAGTGTGTAAAATCCCAAAAATAAAGTCCAGAATCAAAGTCCAAATAAAGTCCCAAAAAAAAAAATTCCAAAAAAAAGGGGATTCCACAAATAGAATTAATCTTTATCTGTAATTTCTCAATTCTTCATATCTCCAAACCGCCTTTGTGATATACTCCAAACAAAATCTTCATATACCTCAAAGAAAAAAAAAAACTCAACATGTGTATTATCCCCAAAAAAAAAATTCACTAAAACATGCCACACGTGTTACATACAGACAAAACTGACGTGCCACAGCAACCGTGAAAAGATTCCCTCTGCCTTAGGTATCAATTTACTGCATACAAATAACAGAAGTGCATAATTACCCTCAGAATAGTATCAAGGGTCTAAATGCGATTATTTCCAACCTTTTTGTTCCTTCAGCCTTTCCAGCCACTTCCCACAGACCTCATAAACAGACCAGGGATCAGTATGTGTCATAAATACTCATAACACTTTATTGTAGCAACTTACATTAAAATAAGATGAGATCAGCTTCCACACCAAGAAAATTATTCCACAATCCTGCCTCTCCTCAGAAGTGTGTAGGTATCCTCACCATCCCACTCCCGAGGGGGAATAAATCAACTATGGTAGGTTTCCCAGTAGCCAAACACATAAGGATTCCAGGACAGGCACAGCCACGTGTACCAGGATCAAAGATGGCCGCCACCGCACTTCCGGAAGAGCGTCACTACGTCACCACGTCACGTGCCCCGGACACGTTTCATCACATCCGGACTTTGCACTTCTGTTATTTGTATGCAGTGGATTGATACCTAAGGCAGAGGGATTTTTTTCACGGTTGCTATGGCACGTCAGTTTTGTTTGCATGTAACACGTGTGGCACGTTTTAGTGAATTTTTTTTTTTTGGGATAATACACATGTTGAGTTTTTTTTTCTTTGAGGTATATGAAGATTTTGTTTGGAGTATATCACAAAGGCGGTTTGGAGATATGAAGAATTGAGAAATTACAGATAAAGATTAATTCTATTTGTGGAATCCCCTTTTTTTTTTTTGGAATTTTTTTTTTTTGGACTTTGATTCTGGACTTTATTTTTGGGATTTTACACACTAACATTTAGTATATGGTAATCAAGTTTGCTGAAAGATTGATTTATTTGATATATGTACTACAGGGGAAGGACTGTTTAAGTGACTTGGTGGGGTGTCTTAATTAAAGAAGGATAGTGCTGTACTTATAATAAAGTACTAACAAGTTTATTGAATTTCAGAATTAGGCTTATTATAGAACTTTTGCACACACATTCACAACAGTTTTTACATCTATTTCAAATAAATTAAGGGGTCTATTTATATTTTAAAAAATGACTGTGCTGGTACCACCAACATTTGCATAGCTTTCATGAATATTCCATGTAATTTTGTCTAATACAGTCATTACCAAAAATATTGGCACCCCTGCATCTCTGTCAGATAATGTACCACTTTGCCCAGAAGTGAAATTACAAATGTTTAGGCATTCTGATGTTTATTTCTTTAGTTTGTATTGGTATGACACAAAAAAGTTGAGAAACAAAAAGCTAAATCTGACACACTCATGCAAAATTATTGGCACTCTCAATTTAATATTTGGTAGCACAACCCTTGGGAAAAATAACTGAAATCAATCGGTTCCTGTAACCATCAATGAGTTTCTTCCACCTCTCTACTAGAATTTTGGGCTACACTTCTTTCGCTAACTGCGCCAGGTCTCTCAGTTTGGAAGAGTTCCTTTTCCCAACTGCTGTTTTGAAATCTCTCTACATGTGCTCTATGGGATTGAGATGTGGACTCATTGCTGGCCAGTTCAGTACTCTCCAGCAGTTTCTCTGAAACCATTGCTGGGTACTTTTTGAAGTGTGCTTTGGATCATTGTCCGGCTGTAAGACCCATGACCTCTTCCAGAGACCCAACTTTCCAAAAATGGACTGGCACCGTCTCAAAATTGTAACAAATAATTGCATTCCAAGTTTGTGATGCTCCTGTAATTTGTAATTAAACTCACCTGTATCAATTAACAGGTGCTGACAATACAGTGATGACACCTGCAACCAGTTAAAATGGTGAAAAATTGACTCAACCTTTCTGGTTGTGTGTCTCTATGTGTCTCTATGTGCCACATGGAGCATGGGAGAGAGAAAGAGCAGCAAAGAACTGTCTGAGGATTTGAGAACAAACGTTGTGGAAAAGCATGGACAATTTAAAGGTTGCAAGTCCATCTCCAGAGATCTTAATGTTCCTGTGTCCATTGTGCGCAACATTGTAAAGAAGTTTACAGCCCATGGTACTGTAGCTAATCTGGAAGTGGACAAAAGAGAAAAATGAATCAAAGAATACAACTAGCAATTGTTCGAATGGCGGATAAAGAACCACTATCATCTTCCAGACAAATTCAAGCTGACCTTCAGGCACAGGGTGCAACTGTGTCAGCTCTTTTTGAATGAAAAGGGACACTATGGTAGGAGACCCAAAAGGACCCCACTGCTGACACAGAAACATAAAAAAGCCACTTTGAAATTTGCCAAAATTTGCCAAATTTACCTGGGAACACTACTCTACTTCTAACAAACTGAAATCCTTGGTAGCCTCAGACACTATATCAACTACTTTCTGGCCATATCCCATGTGGTTTGGCTTTCCCCTGCAGCTTAAGGAAATACAATTATGACCATTTTATTTTTACCCTCTTTTAACCCCCCTGGCGGTATTCCCGAGTATAGCTCGGGATTAACTTTCAGTACCAGAAGCGGTAACCCTGAGCTACACTTGGGATTACTCTGCAACTATGCTCTGGGATCCCTCGAGCACTTAGCTTGTCTTGCGGTCCCGCGATGTCCCCCCTGCAGCGTCCCTGACCATGTCCTCCGGCCGATGCCAGCATCTGTCTTCCGGGTTCCGTTTCCTGCGAGCGTCAGGATACAAGGGACGGAACCAGCGGGAATTTCAAAAATGTAAAAATTTGACATTCAGTCAATACACTAAAATCACATTGTAAAACATTACTGTATCAAACCATTTCACATACATTTTGTCCCGAGTGCTTTGTCCTGCGCCCTGCCTGCATTTTTACAGTTCTTTCTGCCTAGAAACTGAGAAATGTCCATGGCATCCAAAAAGCGTTCCTTTAGGTCAAAAGCAGTTTTAGACCGGCTAGGGAACAGCGATAGTAAATTAGAACCACTTGCAGAATTGAGTGATAATGATTCGTGGGGGAAATTCGTCATCAGACACTGAAAATGATTTTGCGACTAAGCTCAGTGATGTGCGAACTTGGTGCTGTATTTCAAATTACAGTGTTTTTGGTTTGATTAAATTATTGAATTAAATTTATTATTATTATATTATTATTTTTTATGATTATTTATTATATTATAATTTATGATTTCGTGTTTCAAGTTTTACCCTACCCGGGATGTTTAATAGACTCTTGTTCGGACAGATTTCAGTGAGTTATTCCTAAAAATTACAGGCCTACAATAAAAAAACAACATATTTCCATTGAAAACAATGTACCACTTTGAGCATAATCAGACCGCTAGGGAGGTTAAGGACTCAATTCATTATACCCAGAGCACTTCTGATCCGCTATCCTTCTCTTCTCCTTTCCTACTTCTCCCCCCCCCCTTCTCTTTTTTCCTTTTCTATTTCTCCTACTTCTTTCTTGAAGTACTTCTTATTTTAATTTACAGTCTTTTTTGCAAAGTTGACCTTGTTATTGTAGCTCTAAAAGCAATGATAGCAGTATACTGCCCAGAACACTTATGAAAACAATGTTTCTGACATTTGTGAAGCTTATTCTTCTTCTTCTGCAATACTGTGTCTCTGTACGCCTTCATACACGGCTTTGTGATTGAACTGTGACATAATTACCTACTTTCATAATAAAAATACACTATATTGCCAAAGGTATTGGGACAGCCCTCCAGATCATTGGATTCAGGTGTTCCAATCACCTCCATGGCCACAGGTGTATAAAATCAAGCACCTAGGCATGCAGACTGCTTCTACAAACATGTTGGAAAGAATGGGTCGCTCTCAAGAGCTCAGTGAATTCAAGCGTGGTACCGTGATAGGTTGTCACCTGTGCAATAGGTCCATCCATTAAGTTTCCATGCTACTAGATATTCCATGGTCAACTGTTAGTGGTATTATAACAAAGTGGGTGCAACTGGGAACAACAGCAACTCAGCCACCAAGTGGTAGGCCACGTAAAATGACAGAGCGGGGTCAGCGCATGCTGAAGCGCACAGTGCTCAGAAGTCGCCAACTGTCTTCAGAGTCAATAGCTAAAGACCTCCAAAATTCATGTTACCTTCAGATTAGCACAACAACAGTGCAAAGAGAGCTCCATGGTCTCCATGGCCGAGCAGCTGCATCCAATCCTTACATCACCAAGTGCAATGCAAAGTGTTGGATGCAGTGGTGTAAAGCACGCCGCCATTTAACTCAGTGGAGACTTGTTCTCTGGAGTGACACTTCTCTGTCTAGCAATTCGATGGATGTGTCTGGGTTTGGAAGTTTCCAGGAGAACGGTACTTGCCTGGCTGCATTGTGCCAAGTGTAAAGTTTGGTGGAGGGGGGGGATAATTATTATACAGGATTTATATAGTGCCAACACAATACAACTACAATACATTTCAGTACAGAAGGAATATGATGGCCCTGCTCGTGGAGCTGGATTATGGTGTGGTGTTGTTTTTCAGGGGTAGGGCTTGGCCCCTTAATTCCAGTGAAGGGTACCCTTAAGGCGTCTACCAGGACATATTGGACAATTTCATGCTCCTAACTTTGTGGAAGAGTTTGGGGATGGCCCCTTCCTGTTCCAACATGACTGCACACCAGTGCACAAAGCAAGGTCCATAAAGACATGGATGAGCAAGTTTGGCAGCTTGACTGGCCTGCACAGAGTCCTGACCTCAACCCGATAGAACACCTTTGGGGTGAATTAGAGCGGAGACTGTGAGCCAGGCCTTCTCGTCCGACATTAGTTCATGACCTCACAAATGGGCTTCTGGAAGAATGGTCAAACCTTCCCATAGACACACTCCTAAACCTTGTGGACAACCTTCCCAGAAGAGGTTGAAGCTGTTATAGCTGCAAAGGGTGGGCCAACTCAATATTGAACCCTACGGACTAAGACTGGGATGCCATTAAAGTTCATGTGCGTGTAAAGGCAGGCCGACCAATTCATTCGGCAATATAGTGTATATTCAACCTCAAAATTATAGCTTTTTGGTAAAGCCCATCATTCTACTGTTTTGAAAAATACAGTCACACATGGTGAAAGTTCACTGATGTTTTGAGGTTGCTTTGCGCTGGATGTCTTGACTGCGTGCATGGCATTAAGAAATCTGAAACTACCAAATAATTCTGGGGTGCAATGTAGGGCCCACTGTCAGAAAGTTGGGTCTCCATCAGAGGTCATGGGTCTTACAGCAGGACAATGACCCAAAGAACACGTCAAAAAGCACCCAGAAATGGTTTCAGACAAAGTGAGAGAGTACTGAACTGGAGAGTACTGAATTGGCCAGCAATTAGTTCATATCTCAATCCCATAGAGCACCTGTGGAGAGATCTCAAAACAGTACCCTTCCAATCTGAGAGACCTGGAGCAGTTGGTGAAAGAAGAATGGTTCAAAATCCTAGTAGAGAGGTGGAACAAATGCAGTGATGGTTACAGGAAGCGATTGATTTCAGTTATTTTTTCCAAGGTCTATGGTACCAAATCTTAAATTGAGGGTGCCAATACTTTTTCCAGTCCATTTTTTAAGTTTTGCGTGGAGTGTCTCAAATTTAGCTTTTTTTTTTCTCCACTTCTTTTTTGTGTCATACCAATACAAACAAAAGAAATAAACACGAGAAAGCCTAAACATTTGTAAATGCAACATTATATTCTGGGTGAAGTGGTGCGTTATCTGACAGAAATGCAGGGGTAAAAAATAAATAAAAAATTGTGCTCTGCCAAATGTGAACAAAAAACAACTAGTAACAAAAAAACAAAGAAAGAGGTATACAAGTTGCTGCAAACACCTGATATGTGTGTTCATCACATGGAAAACAAATAAAATACTAGTGAAAAAGTGCTGCGCTGCTCAGATATCATAAAATATGGGAAAAACATGACATGTGTTACAAGCAATATATAACAACTCCAACGTGAAAAGTCCACACAGAAAAAGAAGGAAAAAACTCTTCAGCAAATCCAGATGAAAACGAGCATTTTCCTACTGGTGACTGAACCCACAATCCCGGTGCTGTAAATCTTCAAATGGTGTGCATCACCACAGTGAACATAGAAATATAGGAGGACCCTCACCTTCTCATAGGGACCTGTGTAAGAGACAGGTCAACCAGACATGCAGGGGTGCCAATATTTTTGGCCATGACTGTATGTGTATTTCCTGTGATCGTCAGCTCAATCTAGCAGCCATAATATTGTATGTTCCTGAAATACATCAATCAGAATTAATGTATTACCAATGAATGGGGATGATGATCATAGGCAGGGGCGGACTGACAACTCATGGGGCCCCCGGACAATAGGGGATCATGGGGCCCCTGTGTCCTTGCCCAAACTCAAAAAAGCCTATGAAAAAGGTACCAGGGGCATCTCATGGGGCCCCCTACTGACCCCGGGCCCTCGGGCAGTGCCCGAGTTTCCAAATGGTCAATCCTCCCCTGATCATAGGATATAAACATATTAGGCAATTTAGGAGGATTATTCATGATGTCTGTGCAAATCCTTGGGAAATTTACACATCATTTTTTTAACAAAAAGATGTGTAAAGTGCAATACTATTATCAACCAATTAGAATCTATCTTGCTTGTATCTGAATTCAGCAAAGTCCATTTTTTTTTCATTTTACCTCTTGAATTGTTAATTTAAAAAGTCAGTTTGTGTTTAATATGACTGGTTTGGGGGCAGAGATTGCTGTGGATTGTTCTATGTAGTCTGTGAAATGCTGCAGAATATGTGGAATCTGTATACAAAAATAACATAAATAAGTAAACACTAATATAATTTATGTATTAATAATGAATAACAAACTGCAACAAAGAAATAAACATTATCTGCCTCAAGGCCACGAGCTAATCTAAAGCTTACCAGTAAAAGAAAGCGAAACGCAACATACAGATCGCAAAGGCATTGCCAGGCTACGAACAGAAAAATATTTTTTATTTTAAGTCAGTGTGGATAAACTTTAGTATGAATGACGCAACTGAATAATTGACTCCATGCTTTACAAATCTTTCTTTTACTGGTTTTATGACTTTGTGTTCTCAGATTTTCCCGTAGAATAAGAAATGGATTTGTTTTCATTTAAAAGGGTTTTCCACCTACAGATCTCTCCAAAGCCCCTTGAATCTCTTGATTGTGAAGGCTAAGAAAACATGCTGCAGTTCATTCCTTCTCTAGGTAGTGAATGAAGATGACAATCTTAGACATAGAACTTTTAAAAACTAGTCAGCATTGGAATATCATATCTCCTAGTAGGGTCTGTTACACACAGGATACAAAGAAGCGTAAGAGCAATGGTTTATTAAAGAGGACCTGGACTGTGGAAGCTGAGCCCAAAATATGCAAAGTGAAGAGTTAGCGACCAGAATTGCTGGAGGATCCTTGCCGTTGATCTTTCCCCATTGCTGACTTACCATGCCTTGGTCTGCTTTCTGTCTCTGTGTGGAGGTGGCCATCATGGTAAAAGAGAAAGCTTTGCTTCCTCCTGTCAAAGCTGCCCCCTGGTTACAGAATGAATGAATTGAAAGCAGGGAGGTCTTTGCACTGGAGGTCCTCAGGTACATTTTGCTCTCCAGCAAGGAGAACAGGAGCACAGTAGTGACATCACCAAATCTCACTCTGAATCTTCTGAGATTAGCAAGTAGAAGCAATGGTGCCTTAGATGATCTCGTAGTGCAGACAAATAGCTATCAGGCTGAAGGCACAGGTAGTGTTATTTTTTTCTAGAAAATTTTTATTATAGAATAATTTTAAAGAATAGGATAAAGAGAGATGTCAACACCTTTCAGGTTTTTATTGCTGTTTGTACCCGTTATGGAGATTTGTCCTGTTTACCGCTAACCATACAGAGTGAAAGTGAACGAAAATCTCAGATTTTGGGCTGTCACCTGAACAATAATAGAGGGGAAATCTTATGATGGGGACACTAGTTCTGGTCTAGGCTTAAAGTGATTGTAAAGGCTCAAGGTTTTCTACCTTTATGCATTCTATGCATGAAGGTAAAAAAACCTTTCATGTGCAGCAGCCCCCCCAGACACTTACCTGAGCCCCATTGCATTCCAGCAATGTGAAAGAAAACTTCAGCTGTCCTGGGTCTCTGCCTCCATTGGCTCCCGCTGCTGTCAATTGAAGCAAGTGACCCATGGGGTGACAGAGGGGGTGGAGCCGAACCATGACTCCATAAATGGACACACAGAGCAGCAGCTCCGCAGAGCACCTCCTCAGGTGCCCCCCCTAGCAAGCTGCTTGCTATGTGGGCATTGAAGAAGGAGGAGCCAGGAGCGCCAGCGGGGGACCTGAGAAGAGGGGCATCTGGGCTGCTCTGTGCAAAACCATTACACGGAGCAGGTAAGAATGTTATGTTTGTTATTTAAAAAAAAACCAGAACCTTTAGTATTGCTTTAAGAGTTTGTGTCTGACGTTTGTTTTCTCAGGCTGTGAATAAATTATGTTTCAGGTCTGAAGCCCAGAAACTTTGTAGTGCTTTGGGTGGGATAAAGCCTCCATTCCTATGGTCACATCATATCTGGGGTAGCCATACCCAGGGGCGGACTGACAAATCATGGGGCCCCCGGGCAATAGGGGATCATGGGGCCCCTGTGTCCTTGCCCAAACTCAAAAAAGCCTATGACAAAGGTACCAGGGGCATCTCATGGGGCCCCCTACTGACCCTGGGCCCTCGGGCAGTGCCCAAGTTTCCAAATGGTCAGTCCGCCCCTGGCCATACCTCACTGTTAGTCTCATCTGTCCAAAGATCTTTATATATGTGGATTGACTGATGCCCAGGGCTCTCTCTGCTGCTGTGTGAAAAGGCTGAGTGCTGGTAGAACGCTAGAATGGAAGAAGAGTTGCTGGTTTGTTTTGGGGAACCCATTAGGGGTCACCCTGTTTTTCAGGAACTTGCATGAGTTTAGGTAGTGGCTTAGCTTGTTTTATGATATGTAAACCTTCCTGCATTCGAACTGTGTTTGTTTGCTGGTTTGGACAAACCAACTTGGACTGTTCCTGGGTGTCCTTGTCTTGTGCGTGATTTACTGCTGCCACTACCAGTTCAGCCTGCCCCCCATTAAAGTATATACTCATTGCACACACAAATATACAAATAAAAGTGGATTGTGATACTAACTTGTACATTTTAGTCACGCAGCCAATTAATCCATCTAGCTCGGCTTCACTGCACCTCCTTCATATTTTAATGATTTTGTTACTAATTAAATACTATTGTTTACAACACTGAATTTCATTAATAGTATTAACTCAGCACACACTTCCAACATCAGATACTTAAAGGGAACCTTTTTTTGTTCATGTACTACAGGTGCACTTTC